ATATGAGCCCCTAATGCAACCCCCTACTGAAGAAGAATGGTCTAGCATCATCAAGTCTCTACCTGATGGTAAAGCCCTGGTCCATCAAAAATATCAAATGAAATATTCAAACACCTCGACCCGTTTGCCTCTAAATGTCTTTAGAAAATTGTATGTTGTTGCCTAATTCACAACCTAACACCTAATTAATAGAACTTAGCCTATGTATATCCCATTCCCAAACCTAAACTATGGGAATATAATCTAAATCATACTCATCCGATTACACTTTTTAGAATATCCTAGAAAAGTTCTTATTAAGTTAGTCAATAGTAGACTTCTCTCTATACTAGCTAAGAATAACATCCTTAAAGATAATAATTTTGCTGGTTTACCTTTTAGAAGCACTTTCGAACCTATCAACATTTTAGACATCAAATATGACGTATCATTTCACCATAATAACTTTTGGATCCTTTTCTAAAACATGTCGAAAGCATATGACAGAGTAAATCTCAGGATGTTGATTCGGGCGTTACTGAGATTACACCTTCCTATATCTTTTATCTACCTTATAATCTCGATTTTTGTTTCTCGCTTCAATAAAATTTTTATAGTATACGGTGATACCAATACCTATTATGTTCTATCAGGAATAGATCAAGGAGAAATCATCTCACCAATTTTATGGTGTATTTATTATGATCCCTTATTGTGCAAAATTCAGAACTCAACATTAGGATATACTCAAAGTGTTAATTGAAGGAAAGACATAACTAAAAGGTCATCTGATCAATTTTTAAATCATGTTCCAGCACTCGCTTACATGAATGATACACTCTGGATGGTAGATTCTAGAGTGGATCTTCAAAATATAATGAATATTGCTGATTCCTTCTATACCCTAAATAGTATACAAATAAATTGAGAAAAATCAGTTTTAATGACAAATATCAGAGACTCCAGTATTGTCAACTTTGGGGTCAATAATAAAAATATATGGCTCTCCCCACTCTCTACTAAAGATTCCACCCATTACCTTGGAGTGTGGATTTCACTTTTTGACAATACTACGTACATTTGAAATCAAGTCGCAACAGAATTCAAAAAAGTTAAAAATGTGTTAGACAAAAAACGGCTCATAGCAAAACAAATAGTTACAGTTTTTAACTCAGTAGTTATTCCCAGAATCATTTATAAAATTAAATTAACTTTCCTACTATCTACATTCTGCAATATGATGATGGCTTCATTCAGAGCATTCTTCAAAAACAAACTGCACTTAACTAAGTCCCTACTAGTAGCAATCATACATTTCATCTTTGGATACAACCTAACCCACCTTTATGACAAACAAATGCTAGCCAAAGTCTCTGATTTATAAAAGATAATAAATGATATTGCTCTACTAGGAAATACTGCTAGATTGAGAATCATGCAACTCCAACTCTTAGAATGGTTACACTTATCACTAATTATCAATTGGCCATATGATAATTCTTTCAAATTTAAAGACTGGTGGTCAGCTTTTCTCTCAGCCGCCAAAGTAAATGGTCTTACTTTCGGTAAATGTTTAGACGAACACTTCGAACAATCTCAAATCATAGGTGGCTCTATACTCATTTCATCTACTCTATCTAATAATGTATATAGGAAGTCTATTAAGAATATTCAGATCCTTTCAATAATGTTTATAGATCAACTTACCTCAATAGATGGATGTCACCTCTTTACCTCTTTTGATATCAACTGATTTTATAATACAAATATATCACATGCATTTTGGTTCCAAAAATTAGAATCCCAACTTTTGGCTGATACCTCCTCTAGAAAAATGATGATAACTTGTCCACCACACCCATCCATTTGTGACTTACCAGCATCGTCCATTTAAATGAAAGAGAACGAACATAACAACCCCACTTTTGTGACCATTTGGTCTAATCAATTTTTGACCCCTATTATTGGAAAAGTTAAAGCCATCAATAACGAAATAATATTTGTACAACACTATATAGCCACATATGACACAAATTTTAAAGCAGATATCAACCCTTGCAATAGATGTAGCCTCTTCGATCCTATAGCAATTGTTACAAATATTCGAACAAATATTCACAATTTCTGTACCATAAAACTCCCATCCCAATTTTGCATAGAGATCAAAGTATAGTACAACAAATACATAGGATGGAGATCCAGCCTTTCTGACCTTATGCTATGGAAGGTTGTACTTTTCAAACTTACTAACCCTTATCAATACCCAACAAAGCCTTTGCCAGACCTAACTGTTCTTCCATTTGACAGTTATTCAATTATATCACTTAACACTCTCAAATTTAACTTTACTCCTGCCATTTCTCTTCAATTTTATACTGACGGTTCTCTTACCTCTTTAGGTTTCTCAACCTGCCAGTTGGGTATCGCATGGTTACAAACTGATCCAAATTGGCTATCATTTTCTTTTAATGCTACTCTTTATCACCAAATCCTTCTTCCACACTAGCTGAAATTGTAGCTATATTAGCTGCGTATATGTTTCACCTCATGACTCTTGTATAGAAATTTGTACTGATTTCCAAGCCGCTATCTCCTCCTTTCACAACTTGTCATTCATCTTTCGAGACTCCTTATCCATCAATCCTGCTTTTAAAATCCCATACTTTCACATTTGGTCAATACTTTTTAGCCTTATTGCTCAAAACAACATTTCTGTTTCGTTCACCAAAGTACAAGCTCACAAAGATGATCATTATAATAATACTGTTGACAAACTAGCATAACAACTTCTTACAAAGAACATCTAGGTCCAGGTTATTACCCATGCTACGCTTCTAATCCAATAATAACTCCTCATCAGCTATTCATAAAAAATAAAATACAAGCGGCATGAGCAGAGTCCTTGCCTCACCTCAACAAATATTGTGATAAACCTATAGATTGGCCTATACTTTTCAAGATCCTAAATGACGAAGAATCATCTCAAAAAACATCATTTATAGGATGTTTCAAAAAGAAATTTAAAATTAGAATATTACTTCAACTGCTTCTTACTTTAAAGGTAGTTAACTCCCGAATGCCTACACTATATACTTCAATAAGATGCATCCGTTGTCACTCTCACACTGAAGATTTTGAGCACTTGTGACTTTGTTTTAGTAATCAATCTAACATTAATGAGTTAATCAACACACATAAGACCAAATTTATCACCCAATTCTCTGAGTTAAATACTCTTAAAGATGATTATCTAGTTCAAGAAATACTTTCAGATCCTATTTGGAATACATCACCCATCTCTACAGAATTTTGTTTCTTAGATATAATTAAAGGAATTATACCATTATCTTTATTAAACAAAGTAATAGCCTGTCTTTCTGCAAAAGATTTATCACATAGTTTTTTGTCCTCCTATCATGAGGTCTTCACATCTTGTTATGAGATTTGATTACAAAGAAACATTGCACTAAATGATTGGAAAATTGCAAATAACTTTGAAGATAATTATACTACTCCTTGGGTCTCCTCAGGTTTCCCACATTCATCTCCCATCCCCTCAACTTCACACCCACATCCTTCATAACGGCTACCACCTATGGCTCTTACTGGTCAAATTTTTAGAACGGCAGTAACCATGCCCTCCTTTCCGGACGTTTGATATCTGTATAATAGTTTAATCTAGTTAGATTTTCTTTCTTTTCTTTTCTGTTTATAGTTTAGTTTGATAAAGTACAAGGTTGGTATTGATAAAGTAGTTTAGTTTAAATTAATTTATAGATATTTTTGTATTTTCTGTTTTATTATATGTATCTAGTATTTTATAAATTTAATAGCATTTGTAAGTGATACTAGTTCAATTTATCTTGCACTTATAAATCAGCAGCTGAAAAATCTAATATTTCATATTGATGCACAATTTGAAGATCAAGATAATTATCTTATTGGACTCTGTTGGATGCATCCAAGTCAACAGAAATTGTGGGCTCATTTTTATAATGTAATTTTACTTGATACAACAGCAAAAACAAACCAATATTCTATAATTTTATGTATTATAATATTAGTTGATAATCATAATCATTCTCATCTTACAGCAACTGCAATAATGTCAGATAAAACAAAAGATACTTTTACATGATTATTTACAAGTCTTTTCAAAGCAACAGAAGGATTAACACTAACTTTACTTTATACAAATACCAATTGCAGCAGTAAATAATGCTTAGCTTATAACAAAATATCATTTTTGTTTATTCCATATTAGAAAAAACTTAGAAAAGTATTTTCTTAGTAAATATTATAGTAAAAAATGGAAAAAGTTCTTTTCTTCTTTTTGTTATATGCATAATATTCGAGTCTAAAGATGGTCACCGCAATTAAAAAAAATGGCGCAATTGAGTTGCAACTTGTGGCGCAATTAAATTTCCTTATGGCGCAATTAAGTTGCAACTCAATTGAAATTTGAAAATAATTATGGGGACCATCTTTATTCGAGTCAAATCAATTTTTGAAGAGAGGTTGGCTATATTATTACAAAAATATACTGATACCATAAATTACCTATAATATTAGCTTTATTCATGCAGAGAGGCTTAGGTATTATGCTTTACATATTGTGCATTTAATGCTGGAATTCAAAGTACATAGCATGTAGAGTCATACAATGTATTATCAAAAATAATATTAATGGATCATCATTTTTTATGGAACTTGAACATACAATTGAAAGATTATTAGCAAAAAAAAGTAAATATCTAAAATTAAATGAAACTATTAATAAGCTTTCTATAAATAAAGAAGAAGATTATCATAATTATTATTTTAAAGATATTGACAAATTATGTCAACATTTTTTAACACTGATAATTTTTAAACTCTAACAACATAAAATAAATTGTAGTATACACTACTGATATTATAGAACTAATTTAGACTATAAACTTAAGTGACAGATACAAATTAATTATATCATTATATAATTACTATTAGAGATAATTAGTCTTTTTTCTTTATAGAATATTATGGAATTACCAAAAGACATGTTTTCTAAAGAAATGTTTGATATTTGTGTTATAGAACTTGCAGAATTAATTGGATTTGAATTCAACAAGAATTAATGAAATTTAGCATATTTCTTCTATTGATAAAAAAAGTAAGCATTTTATTATGCTATATGATGATACTATGTATTTATGTATATACTTAATATTAATTAATCATGATCTTATATGCCGCCATTTTTTTGCAACAATTCTTGTATCTTTAATTGCTAAGTTTCATATTGGACTTATACCATAACATTAGTATACTGATGTATCAATTATAAAGGTGGATACAATACTTTTAAGTATATTAGCAATTTCAGTAATTTCTAGTGATGAGTTTGGTATAATAGAACATATAGTAGAATTAAATTTTTCTTATTTAGAGAGTATTCATGGATGTCATGTTTTTACTAAAGAAGTTTATCATGAAATGATATGAAAATAACAATGAAAAAAAAGGTTTAGATTAATAAAAAAAAACTTAATTTAGCAATTAAAACAGGAAGGATAGAAGAACTTTATGAAATACATAAAAGATTTGCTAAGGAGATGAAATCTGAAATCATACAAATTGTATAAGGCAATAATATTACTGAATTTGCCTGTACTATTAACAACCTAATTAATATTAGAACAAAAGGCTAAAAGCCTAAAAATTCAAGTAATATATATGCTAATCATAAGGATAAAAAAAGGTAAGTAAAAACAAATCAAAATGATAAAGAAAATAATATAAGTGATAAAGATTGTGAAGAATTATTACCAAATAGAAAGTGGCAAAAAGTCTTATAAGATAATTCAAATACAGATATATATAGGTTTTTATATTACTTATGATATTGATATTATGTTAATTAGCAATTTTTTTATTTAACAAATTATGAGTTAAATATAGATGTGAAAGCTAAAGATAGTAGAAGTAAATCAAGACGATATAGAATTTGCAACAAAAAAGGTTATAATGCATAAACATGTTTAAAAATCAATTTGTAATTCATAATTTTTTTAAAATTTTTATAAGATTATTTTTTAATATGCAAATAATAAAGTCTGATTTAATTTTGCTTTAATTATAAGACCTTTTTATTAGATAAACATATTACAATTAATGACAACATACTATAAGGATATAACTAACTTAGGGCAGTAAAAATAAAAGAAAAGTAAATAAATATTACATTTATAAAGGGTATATAGGAATAATTATTGTAATGAAAAATGTATATATTAAATGGATTATATATTTTTTTTGAAATTTTTAGTAAAATTCAAGCGTGTTTCTTCTTTGAAAAGCATTTTTAGCATTATGATCAAATATTTACTAAGGAACTAACATAAAATTGACAATAAACAAATTTACAAATTTTATTCATCAATCAGATTATAGTACAGAAGTATAAGGTCCTTCACTATGCTTCAGACAATTAAAAAAAAATTTTTGCACATAAATGCATATAATATCAGTAAATTCAGTAAATTTTAATTTTTTGAAATATGGTGTTAAAATACTATAATTTTTTTTCAAAAAAACTAGTGTCAGTTATCACTAGTGTTGAATACTACTGGTGTGGTTTAGTAAAGTTAAAATATAAATAAAATACATTATAGTTTTTGTAATAAAAAAGTTGTAGAAGTAAATTAATATATAAGAAAAAAAATAAAGGTATTAGATTATAAAATAGAGTAATAGTTAGATAATGAAATGATAATTATATTATTTTAATATATAAATACAAATAGTAAGAAAATTTAAAGAATTAACAAGAAAATTAAAAAGATAATTGAAATTTAAATTATAATGTAATAATTGAATTATAAAGATAGACTATAAAGAATCAGTTTTTTTAGTTTAGTTAATAATAATTAAGTTCTTATTGTGGATTATCTTGTAATAACTATAGGTATAAATTTTAACTAAAACATAAAATTAGATAATTTTTATAAAAATTTTATTGTAATTAAATATGTGAATGTATAGACCAATATACGTTAGTAACTAATTAATTAATTTATCAATTGATGTTGATCATATTTAAATACTAGATTTTAAAGAATATGTGGATGTAAATAAAGCTAAAGATTAATAAAAACTTAGCTTTTACAGATACCGGAAGGGGAAACAAAAATATTGCACAGCTTAAAAATAAAAATTTAAATAAATTTTTTATAAGTTACTAGCTATGTGATTTTTATACTGA